TTGGGGGGCCTCTTGGTTCCATTTTGGGCTGTCTTGGGGCTCTCGTGGGCGATCGTGGAGCCCGGCTCGGCCGTCTTGAAGCTTTCTTGGTGGCCTTTTGGAGCGTCTGAGGCGATCTCGGGAGCTTTGAAACCGTCTTGAAAGCTGATGAATCCGAAAGGCGAATATGCTACAATTGCAAGTTTTACGAAGGGAATGGGACGATGCTTGTGTTTTGAAGCCCCTTGGAAAGCTTTTTGGGGTGCCTTGGGGGTCTTTCTGTTGGCATTCGGAAACATCGTGGGGGTGTTTTCGGGGCCCTCGTGGGCCGTTTTGGCGCCTTCATGGGCCGTCCTGGGGCCTTCTTGGGCCGTCTTGGGGGGCTTGGGCCCGCTGGAGCCCCCTTTGGACCCATCTTGGGCACTTCCGGGGACCTCCCATGGCCCTTTTGGGTCTGTGCTCGGAGCCCTTGGGTGGCCTCTTGGTTCCATTATGGGCTGTCTTGGGGCTCTCGTAGGGCCCGGCTCGGCCGTCTTGAAGCTTTCTTGGGGGCCTTTTGGGGCGTCTGGAGGCGATCTCGGGGGCTTTGAAACCGTCTTGAAAGTTGATGAACTCCGAAAGGCGAATATGCTACAATTGCAAGTTTTACGAAGGGAATGGGACGATTTTTGTGCTTTGAAGCCCCTTGGGAAGCTTTTTGGGGTGCCTTGGGGGTCTTTCTGTTGGCATTCGGAAACATCGTGGGGGTGTTTTCGGAGCCCTCGTGGGCCGTTTTGGCGCCTTCATGGGCCGTCCTGGGGCCTTCTTGGGCCGACTTGGGAAGCTTGGGCCCGCTGGAGCCCCCTTTGGACCCATCTTGGGCACTTCCGGGGACCTCCCATGGCCCTTTTGGGTCTGTGCTGGGAGCCCTTGGGTGGCCTCTTGGTTCCATTATGGGCTGTCTTGGGGTTCTCGTGGGCGATCGTGGGGCCCGGCTCGGCCGTCTTGAAGCTTTCGTGGGAGCCTTTTGGGGCGTCTGGAGGCGATCTCGGGGGCTTTGAAACCGTCTTGAAAGCTGATGGAATCCGAAAGGCGAATATGCTAAAATTGCAAATTTTACGAAGGGAATGGGACGATGTTTGTGCTTTGAAGGCCCCTTGGGAAGCTTGTTGGGGTGCCTTGGGGGTCCTTTGGGCCGTCCTGACGCAATCGGAGTCCCTCTTGGAGCGCTCTTCTGCTGTCTGGGGCCTCCCTTGAGCCTTTCTGATGACCCCTCGGATCGCTCTGGGTCTGCAGGCAAGGCGTTTGTGGAGACCCGGAAAGCCGGGTGACGTCCAAGGGAGCCCGAGAACCCCAGATTCCAGTGGTCCAGTTTTTTGGGGGGGGGCGGGTGATGGTTTTCCCCCCCCCCGGGCTTGAAAAAATATTGGAAGAGGAATATATTCCAGTAGCCCACGCCCTTCTTCTGGTAAGTCACCTTCAGGTCGACCGTGCCGAAATGCACCCACTGCTTCCACGTCGCGCCGCCGGGCTTGCCTTTCGGGTCAGCGGAGAAACGGATGGGCCCACTCTGGTTCGTCCATGTCCCCGAGATGGTGACGACCTGGAAGTAGACCGAGCAGGGGTCGCCCATGCGCCTGGCGTCAGCCTTCGCGAGCAGGGGCGCGCTCGCGGGCTCCGCCCATCGCGGCAAGTGCAAGAAGACGAGATTGCCCAGCTTGTGGATGTCAAAACGATCCCCAAACATGTTACTGAAATGGGGGTCGCCTACGCCGGACGCCGTAGTTGCCACCCGCTTTACGTAGCACCACAAGCCAAATTGGTTGTCGCCTGGCGTGCCCTGCGTGATCGAAGCGTTGGTACCAGGAACGTATATCCAGTCGGACTGGGAGAAGACAGAAACCTCTTGCGCGAAGAGGAAGCATTCCCGTGCGTACGAGTCATGGTACGAGTTGTCGGTGCACTCCACAAGATCTGAGCAAAGGTCATTGCAAGACGCGAAGCTTCGCTTAGGGTTTTGTCCATGTAACGGCTTGGGTGGCCGCCATTGGCATCTCGACAATGCCCATCGAATTGGGTATAGTCGGCAACCTTGATGTGCATGCCAACGGTCGGGCTCTCATACATGGCCACCTGGAACATCTCTGCATCGCAACCCCTTGGGCTTGACTCGAAAGCAGACGCGCCAGGAACGCCGAAGGAGCCAAGGCCCGTCTTGGGGCCGTCTTGGGGACCTCTTAGGCGGTTTTGGGGCGGCATTGGGGCCTCTTCGGCCGTCTTGGCGCGTGGGAAACATGAAAGGGTAAGAAAAACAAAAACCGAATTAGCCTGGCAAAAGACCCAACCATGTGCAATTTTGAACACCGTCGTTGTATGCACCGCATTCGGAGGAGCTCCCTATTGGGCCACGAACCGTATGAGGGGCGCATCAAAATGTATCCCGTGGGCGCATGCGGAAGCAGCCACTGGGGCCGTCGGTGGAATTCCCTATGGGGCCACGCAGCGCGTGAGAGATATTCCGAAACAGGTGCGGTGGGCGCATGCGACACCAACCAATGGGGCCGTCGGTGGAGCTCCCCATGGGGCCGCGAAACGTGTGATGGGTGCGCTGAAATGGGTGCGGTAACCGCATGCGAACGCAACCACTGGGGTCTTCGGTGGAGCTCCATATGGGGTCACGAAAGGTGAGAGGGGTGTGCTGCCATCGGCGTGGGTGACGCATGCGGGCGGTGGCACTGGGGCCTTTGGTGGAGCTCCCTATGGGGCCACGAAACGTGTGAGGGGTGTGCCGAAATGAGTGTGGGTGACGCATGCGGGCGGTGGTACTGAGGCGTTCGGTGAAGCTCCCTATAGGGCCACAACACGTGCGAGGGGTGTGTCGAAATGGGTGTGGGTGATGCATGCGGGCGGTGGCACTGAGGCGTTCGGTGAAGCTCCCTATAGGGCCACAACACACGTGAGGGGTGTGTCGAAATGGGTGTGGGTGATGCATGCGGGCGGTGGCACAGGGGCCTTCGGTGGAGCTCCCTCTGGGAACCCGAAGCGTGTGAGATGTATGCCGACATGGGTGTGAGTGGCGCATGCGGGCGGTGGCGCGGGGGCCGTCTATGGGGCCACGACACGTGTGAGGGGTGTGCCGACATTGGTGCGGTGGACGCATGCGGGCGGTGGTACTGAGGCCTTCAGTGGAGCTCGCTATGCGGCCGCGAAGCGCGTGAGGGGTGTGCGTACATGGTGTGGGTGACACATGCAGGTGGTGGCACTGGGGCCTTCGGTGGAGCTCCCTATGGGGCCACGATGCGTGTAAGGGGTGTGCCAAACTGGGTGTGTGTGTATATGTGTGACGCATGCGGGCGGTGGCACTGAGGCTTTCGGTGGAGCTCCGAATGAGGCCACGAAACGTGTGAGGGGTGTGCCGAAATGATTGCGGGTGACGCATGCGGGCGGTGGCACTGAGGCCTTCGGTGGAGCTCCCTATGGGGCCACGAAACGTGTGAGGGGTGTGCCGACATGGGTGTGGGTGAAGCATGCGGGCGGTGGCACGGGGGCCTTCGGTGGAGCTCCCTATGGGGCCACAAAACGTGTTAGGGGTGTGCCAAAATGGGTGTGGGTGACGTGTGCGGGCGGTGGCACGGGGGCCTTCGGTGGAGCTCCCTATGGGGCCACGATGCGCGTGAGGGGTATGCCGAAATGGGTGCGGGTGACGAATGCGGGCGGTGGCACAGGGGCCTTCGGTGGAGCTCCAGGTGGGGCCACGAAATGTGTGAGAGATGTGACGAAATAAGTGTGGGTGACGCATGCGGGCGGTGGCACTGGGGCCTTCGGTGGAGCTCCCTATGGGACCACAATACGCGTGAGGGGTGTGCCAAAGTGAAGGGGGTGACGGGAGGAGGGAGGAGGGATGGGAGGCAGGAGGGAGGAGGGGGAGGAGAAGGAGAAGAGTGGAGAGGAGAGGAGGAACGCGGGGGCCGTCTCTTCAAAACAAGGACCCAACACCACAGGATGGTTGGGACATTTTGTTTTGAGAGATGGACGCACGCCCCAAACATGCCTCAAAAGGCCCGCAGAAGGCCCGCAGGACGGCCCCAGGAGGCCCCTGGAGGCCCCCCAGATGTCATTGCACCTGCCTTGCAGACGTGCTCCAGCGGATTTCTGCGTGGATTTCTGCGTGGATTTGTGCCCGAAGCGGCGAGCGAGAAACGAAGTGAATGTTGCGTGGATTCTTGTTGGTCTTCATTCCTGGCCCAAAAAATCCGCACGAAATGCACCTCGAAATCCGGAACGAAATTCTCTGGGACACCCCAGGCCAATCCTATCGTTCGCTCTGCGATGTTGGCACCATGACAATGAGAGAAGACGATCGGGCTCTCACAAGAGTCGCTATATCATCCTCGAAGCCGCCGTCACGATCTGGGTCCACGCGCGAGCTTATCCCCATCGTGGGCGTCCGTGGCGGCGAGGACAGCAAGCTCTGTCCAACATGAGCATGAACTGCCGTCGGTATTCGCGCCCGTTCTTTCCGTTGGGGGATCTGCTGACCCTGGTTAATCAAGATCCAGGTCAGTCAGGCGTGGCAGGATCCTGCAAGATCCTGCAGGATCCTGCGGGATCCTGCACCCAAGCCTGGGGTAACGCGCCCCTGGCTCTGCAGGATCCTGCAAAATCCGGCGTTCTGGCCGACCCCCGCTTGCATTGACCCCCGTGTCTTGAGCTCAGATCCGTACCCACTTCTTGAGCAGGGACCGACCGTCCCGGCATTCCTATAGGCCTACCACGAAATAATCTTGGAGCACGAAAAGGTTCGAATACCTCAAACGTATATTATAACATATAACCGATGTGTTTAAAAAAGAAGTATCGGTCAGAACTGTTCTAAGAACATCTTGTAGGAACCACAATATATGCTCAGAACATTCTTTGGTGGGCCCATAGGCAAGACGCTTCGCCACTGCGCCAATTTCGCTCGTCCCTGCTCCTGAGTCTGAGGGATCGCCAGAAGAGCGCGACCCACCGACCGACCCCCCGCGCGCGCGCGCGCGCTCCTCCGCGGGCCTGCCCTGAGCCGCAGGCTCGCCCCAGCGCGAGGAGCGGTCGCCGCCCCGCTTCGGCGCCGGACTCTCGCCGCCCCGCCTGCGGGTTGGCAGGTTGCTGCTTCTGCCCCGGCTGCCGCACGGTCTCCTCCCTCCCCACTTCCCCCCAACCTCCTACTGCTTCTCCTCTTCCTCCTTCTCCTGCTCGTCCTCCCAACTCCTCCTCATCCTCCCCCCTCCTCCTCATAGTTATCCTGCTGCTGCTGCTACTGCTGCTGCTGCTCCTCCTCCTCCTCCTCCTCCTCCTCCTCCTCCTCCTCCTCCTCCTCCTCCTCATCATCATCATCATCATCATCATCATCATCATCATCCTCGTGCTCTTCCCTGCCTCCTCCTGCTGCTCCTCCTACTCTCCCTTCTCATCTTCCTCCTCTTCCTCCTCCTCTTGCTCCTTCCTGTCGCACCCGCAGACGTTTCGGCAGGGCGTGCCGGGCGTTTCTCCAGAGACTCACTCGATTTGCAACGGATTCACGGATAGAAGGCAGGTGGAATTCAGCATGTGATTCTCGCCAAAACGCCGAGCTCATTCGTCTTGAAACTTTGCAGCATTTCCACGGATGGAAGGCAGGTCGTTTTCAAAATGTGGTTCTCGCATTAGCGCCGCGCGCATTCGTCTTAGAAGCTTGCAGCAGCGTCACGGATGGAGGGCGGATCGGTTTCAAAATGTGGCTCTCGCCTTAGCGCCCTGCACGGGCGAAGGGCGGTGATTATTCAATGTTTGTCTCTCGCCTCTGAGCCGCGCGAACTTGGTTTGGAAGTCTGTAACTGGGATTCGCAGGGGCAAAGTCCCAGGAATAGTGTCAGGGCAACAGTTAGACTTGTCAGAACGCAGCAGTCATGTGGACTCGCGGTGTTGAAGTTCCAGGAATGGTCTTCTGGCTCGGTTTAGGATTGTCGGGGTGCATCAGCCACGTGAAACCTCGAAGCTGGAATTCTAGGCGTGATACTTTTGCACGGTTCAAGACTAGCATACGTGTGTTTTCCAATGGGGTGTTTCCCGCATTGGATCTCAATTCCTTTAGGGCCCTATGAAGAGGGACTTGGAGGGAGGGTGTACTACAGCATCGCTCATGCGTCTTAGATTTGCACTGGTCCTCCTCCTCCTCCTCCTCCTCCTCCTCCTGCTCCTCCCTTCTCCTCATGCAACTGCTGGTCCTGCTCTTCTCGTGCTCCAACTCCTCCTCCTTCTGCTCCTAGTCACCTTCACCCTCGACGTATCCAACTCTTTCACTCCTCATGCTACTCCTGCTTATCATGCTGTTCCTGCTCCTCCTGCTCTTCCTGTTCCTCCTCCCCCTCCCTCTCCCCCTCCCCCTCCCCCGTCTCCTCCTCCTCCTCCCCCTCCTCCTCCTCCCCCTCCTCCTCCTGCTCCTCCTCCTCCTCCTCGTCCTCGTCCTCCTCCTCCCCTTCCTCCATTCCTTGTCCTTACAAATAACTTCTCGCTGTCGCACCCCGAGGCTAGTTATAGGACGGGCCAGGCGTTTCGCCTGAGACTTCCTCACCACGTATGCCCCTGAAACTTTAAAAAGACGGAAAACAATTTCACAGATGGAGGGCGGGCCGTTTTTTTGTTTTCAAAATGCGGTTTTCGCCTAAGCGCCGCGCGCATTCGTAGTTATAAAAATTTGCAAACGTGTCACGAATTGAGGGCGGGTCGTTTTCAAAATGTGGCTCTCGCCTAAGCGCCGCGCACATTCGATGAAAACATGTGAAAGGCTTTCACGGATTGAGGTCGGGTCGGTTTCAAAATGAGGTTCTCGCATTAGAGCCGCGTGAATTCGTTTTGGAAATCTGCAAGTGCTTCGCGGATTGAGAGCAGGTCATTTTTTGTTCGAAATGAGGCTCTCACGTTAGCGCCGCGCACCTTAACTTGAAAGGGTTCCACGGATTCCCATGATCAACAAACGAGAAATGGTGTTTTGTAAGGGTTCAGGATTATGAAGGTGAAACAGTTTCGCTGATTCGCGTTGTTGAAATCCCCCACAAGAATGCTCTGGCACGATTCAATATCGCCACGACGCAAGAGTCAGAGTGATCCGTGGCGTTAGCATCCCGAGAAGAATGTGTTGGCATGCCTCAGGGTCTTCAAACGGTTGCCTTCCAACGAGGCAGTTCCCTCAGTGGAAATGAACCGATGCAGAGGCCTACGAAGAGGGAGCTTGGAGGGAGGGCTTATTCCAACATCGTTGATGACTCTTGGGTTTACACTGGTCCTCCTCATCCTCCTCGCCCTCCTCCTCCTTTTCCTCCTCCTCCTCGTACCACGCTCGCGCGGGTGCAACGCCCCATCCCGAGCCGCCCAGCCCGTCCTACGGTGGCGGAATCTGCCGCTGGCACCTGGATACCTCCTCCTCCACATCGCACCACCAGACGTGTCGTTAGGACGTGCCTGGCGTTTCGCTTGACACTTCCTCGCCATACAAAACCCTGCCATTGTGTTCATATCCATTCATGATGGCCGCTCCCGTACCGGATACTGGCCAACCAATACTGGCTCGTACCGAACCGTGCAAACCGTCCGCAACTACGGTACTTACTGGACAATACCGTACCGGCCACCGCTACCGTACCGGACGATACCGTGCGGGCCACCGCTACCGTACAGGACGATACCGTACCCGCCGCGGCATTTCCGCACAGCGCCGACCGGCCGCGGCCGATCGGCAGCAGGGGCAGAGATCAACCTTGAACGCCTTGTCGACCAGTAGCGCAGTAGCGCTGGCAGCAACAGGGCGGCAAACGAGCCCCGCCCCCAGTCCCTCGGGACACCCCCCGATCCCTCGGGACTGGTCCCCAAGACTGTCCCTGTGAACCCCCCCCTGGTCCCGGGACACCCCCCCGCTTCCCCGGACCCCCCCTGGTCCCTCGGGACCCCGCCTGTGCCTCAGGACCTCCCAAAGTCCTGAGGCACCCCCCTGGTCCCGCGTGACCTTCGGCTAGACCCTCGATCGAAAGACAACCAGCCAGGGAAACGCAGCCTGGGTGGGCTGCGGTTCCGGCTGCGCCTGCGGCTGCGGCTGCGACCGCGGCCAGAGCTCCGCCGCCGCCGGGCCCTGCTGCGGCTTCGCCTCCTCGGGCTCGCGGAGCCTCCTCCTCCGCGATGGGGTACTTATCAATGAAGGGGGCAATTGGTCTTCCGACAGAGCTTACCACAACCCTTTCTCCACGTCCACCTCCCGCTCCTCCTCCTCCTCTTCCCCCTCCTTTTCCTCCTCCTCCTCCTCCTCCCTTCATCCCTCCCTCTCTCCCTCCATCCACTTTCCATGTCCTACTAGATAATCCCTCCCTGGCGCACATCGACGCCAGTTTTCAGGGCGGACCAGGCGTTTCGCCTGAGACTCCCCCGCCATCTATGACCCTGGAGCTAAAAACATTCACAACAGTTTCACAGATGGGGGGAGGGTCGTTTTCAAAAAGTGGTTCTCGCCTAAGCGCTGCGCAAATTCGCTTGGTAAAAGTTTGCATTCGTTTCACGGATTGATGGCGGATCGCTTTCGAAATGTGGCTCTCGCCTAAGCGCCGCGTACTTTCCTTTTAAATATTTGAAAGGGTTCCACGAATTGAGGGCGGGTCGTTTTCAACATGTGGTTCGTGCCTTAGCGCCGCGAACATTCGTTTTCACGAATTGAGGGCAGTTCCTTTTAAACATGTGGCTCTCACGTTAGCGCCGCGCATATTCTACTTTATCATTTGCAAGAGTTTCACGGATTTCCATGATCAGCGTAGCAGACATGGTGTTTTTGGAAGGAATCAGGATTACGAAGGTGAAACAATTACATGGATTCGCTGTGCTGAGATCCCACGAATGGTGTTTTGGCACGGTTCAATATCGCCACGACGCAACAGTCAGGTTGATCCGTGGCGCTGGAATCCCGATGTGTTGGCATGCCTCAGGGTCTTCAAACGGTTGTCTTCCAACGAGGCAGTTCCCTCAGTGGAAATGAACCGTTGTTGGGACTTATGAAGAGGGAGCTTGGAGGGAAAGTTCATTCCAACATCGTTGATGACTCTTGGGTTTACACTGGTCCTCCTCCTCCTCCTCCTCCTCTTCCTCCTACTCCTCCGCCCTCCTCCTCCTTTTCCTCCTCCTCCTGCTCCTCCTCCTCCTCCTCCTCCACCCCCCCCCCCTCCACTGGTTCCGACAGCACGTGCCAAACTCCCCCATTGGCGGTGCTCACAAGGGGGAGGAGGGAGGGGAGAGAGCTTCTTAGAAGGAGGCTGCTTCTTAGAAGGCACCGGCCTTACATCTGTAGACAATATAGATAAGGCCCGCGCCTTCTAAGCAGGGGTGCTTCTAAGAAGCCCTCACCCCTCCCCCCACCCCGCGTGGCTGACCCCTGCATATCCAGGAGGGGGGGCCGATGATTGCCCCATCCAGCGCACGCAGGGAAAGACAACCTGATGTCCGGTCGTTGCACATTTACTCACAGAGGGTGTGTTCGCCCCGTGTCGGGCCCCAGGAACATTATTACAGATCAATCCAGCTAGGAAAGTGCAGCAGAAAGAATGGGGTAGAAAGAATGGGGTTTAGAATCATGGTCGTAATTTCCGGCGATGTCGTATTTATTTTGCAAGGTCGTCAGATCTCCGGGAACGGGGGCCGTGACCACGTCTTAACGCTGAAACGTCGGTGTTGATCTTGGTCATCGTCCATCTTGGTCATCTCCCATTGGTATATCGTACTCGCGAATCGGCGACGGCCAGCATGGACCATGATCAAGACCGGCGTCGACAAGATCCCGATAGATCTTGATCATGAGCATCGCGTTGCTCCCTTTGAGGAGAGCATAAAGGTGGGCAGTTCACAAAGGGGAATGATGGGGGGGGACCAGCTCAGGGGGGACACATCGACCTGGAGTTGGCGATACGACGCCGATGGATCGGCGATAGGCTCTCGACAGCGAATCCGAATGCTCCTGGGCGGGGTGAGCCATCGAGCCCCTTATCGGCGATGCATGAAAGATTTGGAAGCGCATCCCCGCCTGAGCCTCTTCTCCCCTGACGTTGCCCAAAATACTAAAAAAAATTGTCAACAAATCGTCCCAATACTATATTTCACTATTTCTTAATATTCCTCCTGTAGGCGGATAGGCCCGAGTGAACCCGAATACACACATTCCCTGGGACACCCCGCAAAGACATTGCAGGGCTCCCCCGGGCTACCCGCCCCTGCTGTGGGGAAGTCCGAGGAACAACACCGCTGGTCTACTCCCGTGCGCTCTGGCCAGAACTTCGAGACGAATCCGGTGGCGGCGGGGGCCTTGGCGGACACGGGGCCACGGTAGCGGTATCAATGCCTCTGCCTCCTCTGATGTTGCACCCGCCGTCCTCTCCGGCCGCTGGCGCCGTCCCGGCGGTCGTCTCGTCTCCTCGCCGCGGGGGCGGCGGCGGGGTCCCCGCGTTCCCGCCCCGTCCCTGCGGGCAGCGACCCCCAGCGTGCCCCACCTGAAGTCGGCCCGCTGCCTGGCAGTGCTCGGCACTGCTCGTCTCCTCCTCCTCCTCCTCCACCTCCTCCTCCTCCTTCTCCCTTCTCGTCCTACTTCTCCTCTTCCTCCTCCTTCTGCTCCTCCTGCGCCTGCTCCTCCCCCTTCTCCTCCACTTCCTCCTTCTCCTCCTGCTCCTCCTCTTCGTGCTCCTGCTCCTCCTCCTCCTCTTCCTCCTCCTTCTGATCCTCTTTCTCATCCTTTCCGTATCCTCGTCCTCCTCTTCCTCCAGAAAAACGTAGCCCCAAGGCGATGCTAAGGGTATAACCCAGCAGAGAGCACAAGCAAGCGCAAGAGGGCAAATATGGGAGAGAGACAATGATCGAGAGAGAGGGAGAGAGAGAGAGAGAGGGAGAGAGAGAGAGAGAGCAGCGCCGCGCCAGACACGCCATGGACCCTGGAGTCCGAAGTGGGGACAAGAAGCGGGGGCCCCAGGAGCTGGGGGCGCCGACGCCGATGCCGACGACGACGCCGATGACGACGACGGCGACGGCGACAACGACGACGGCGACGGCGACAACGACGACGACGACGGCAGACGGCGGCGGTGGCGGGAGCGGCAGACGGCGGCGGGAGAGACAAGAGCAGACTGCCCAGGGTGGACCCAGGGGGCACCAGGAGCCGAGGGGGGCGGGCAGCTCCCCCAGCGCGGCACGGGCTCGCACGGGGGAGCCGCCTTCAGAGGAATAGAGGCCTCCTAGATGGGGTCGGAGTAGATGGGGTCGGAGCTTCGCGCCGCATCACCGATACATCACCGATACATCGGCGGTGCATCGGCGATGCATCGGCGCCATCGGCTATGCATCGGCGACGTGGGCGTGGAGAAAATCGGGCTCCGCATCGAACCGCATCGCCGATGCATCGGCGATACGGAGCGATCCTCCGACCCCATCTACTCGGACCCCATCTAAGAGGCCTAGTAGGAAAGGGTACCCATACATATGCTCTTCCCTCGTTTTCCCCTTTTTGGACTTCCTGTGAGGCCCGCGTCGCCACCGCTGGACTCACCTCGAAATCCCGAACGCACCCCAGGAGAGGTACGGGGAGTAGCGGTATCGGTGCCTATTAGTTTCCCCAAGCCTGTCACTGGGGCAAGGGACATTGCAACATTACCCGAGCGCCGATAGGAAACGGGCAGGGGGCAGAGCGCCAGCCAAGCAATGTTTCCCGTTCTTGTTTTGTGTGCGTTGCCCCTCGTTCTGTCACCATTCCGCCTTTGCTGCAGGACGGTAGTCGCCAGACCATAATGTAGTGCTCATGCCCCGGCCCACCGTCGTTTGTCAAAGCGCAAACGGCCCACAAAGTCGCCAACACAAAATTTAGCTCACGCCCTGGAAACAAGTCTGACGCAAGAAGAACGCATAGCGACCTTATGCCGCGTCAGCAGCCAGCGTGAGACATCGCATGGAGAAGAGGGCGCTTACGCGCGGCCTTGAAGCTGGCGCGAGAATGTCGGCGCAGTCGACCCCGTGTCTACGCCGCTCACCTGGAACACCAGTGGGACTCTCCTCCACCAGCACCTCTGGCTACGGACTACGTTTCCACAGAACGCCCACGGAGTCACACAAGGAACACCCCCAGATCAGATCAGTGTGTTGTGACTTCTCGCCTTTTCGCTTCCGACGGGCTCGTGAGGCCTCAAGATGGCTCTAAGACGGCCCAGGGGAGCCCTAAGATGGGCCCAAGATGGGCCCAAGACGGCCTTAAGAACGCCTAATGGCGCCCCAAGACGGCCCCAATAGGCAATTGTTTGGCCTCCGAGGGGGCGGGAGATCCGTAATTCAGAACCCCCTCCGCTTGGATCGATGGCCCAAAAGATAACCCCGAGAGGTCCCTGAGGCTCTCAAGAGGGCCCCAAGAGGGGCTCAAAAGAGCCCCCGAAGACTCCCTCCAACCTTGTCCCAAGAGAGCCCCAAAGGCATCAAAAATGGCTCCAAGAGGACGCCATAATGACTCGAAGAAACTTCCAATCAAATCTCAGGGCAATAAAACCGCAAAGGCCTTGATGGTTGACTCCTGTCGTCGTCGTCCTCATTTCATCTTCCCCATTATCCTCCACATCCCACTTCATCGTCCTCTTCCTCTCCTCCTTTCACCCCCCCTTCCTCACTCCTCCTCCGTTCCGTCCTCCTCCCTGATTCTCTTTCCGAAAATGGCGGCTGCCCCTTTGTTCCACTGCACGGTAAGTACTACACATCCCTGATCCGGGAAACTCGCCCCGATTGATTGTCTTTGGACGTGCTGGTGGTGACGATTGCGCGAGGCGTAAAAACTTTGAATGCATAATTTTCCAGACATGTGGGTGGCATGATGGTAAGCAACAGCTCGGGATGTTAGCACGAGAATGTCCTTCAGGCACGAAACAACTGTCAAAACAGCTGTTGAATGCGAACGTTTGAAGGAACCATTGTTCGTCGTTGCTCAAAATTACAGAGCCAGGACAGGGAGAAGTACTCTTCCTCCTCCTCCTCCTCCTCCTCCTCCTCCTCCTCCCTATCTCACCACCACCATTCGCCCTCCTCGTTCTCCTCCTCCTCCTCCTCCTCCTCCTCCTCATCCTCCTACTCATCATCACCACCACCACAACCATCACCATCATCGTCATCATCGTCATAGGCATTATCATCATCATCATCATCATCATCATCATCATCATCATCATCATCATCATCATCATCATCATCACTAGCGTCACCCCGATCATAATCATCATAACCAACAACATGTCCATCATCAACGACAACATGAGGAACAATATCATCATCAACCGCAACATCAGACTCCTCATCATCATATACAGCATCCTGATTCCCTCCTCATCCCCCTCGTCATTATCATCCTCATCCACATCCCCATTATATCACCATCATCATTGTAATCATCATGATGGTAATGATCATCATCATCACTATCAGACATTTCGTCATCATCACCATAGTCATCACCATCACCACCATCAGGGTCGTCATCATCATAAAATTACCCTGTGACGTACCCAACCCATTTGTATCATGGGAAACGAAGAGTTGGCCGAAACTTGCACGGACAATCAAATTGCAGGATCCGTTGTTTGATATGTAAGCTACTGGGGACACGCGCCAATGGCATGATGCGCAGGAGAACCATACAAGAACGATGGGCGACAACTACAGGCTCGAAGAGGACATGGGGAGTCGGGAACGAAGAGCAGGAGAAAGACGTGCGGGAAGCCCACTGTGCTGTGCCCCTCAGCAGCCCTCGAAAGTGGCGAGAGTTTCACAGATCGCAGCCCCCCAGGGATGGCAAGGTCTAATCTGAGTCTGCGGTGAGTACCCACTGTGCTGGGTCCCTCAGCAGCCCTCGAAAGTGGCGACTGTTTCACAGATCGCAGCCCCCCAAGGATGGCGAGGTCCCATTTGAGTCTGCGGTGAGTACCCACTGTGCTGGGCCCCTCAGCAGCCCTCGAAAGTGGCGACAGTTTCACAGATCGCAGCCCCCCAGGGATGGCGCGGTCCCATTTGAGTCTGCGGTGAGTACCCACTGTGCTGGGCCCCTCAGCAGGCCTCGAAAGTGGCGAACATTTCACAGATCGCAGCCCCCCAAGGATGGCGAGGTCCCATTTGAACCCGCCGTGGGTACCCACTGTGCTGGGCCCCCCAGCAGCCCTCGAAAGTGGCGACAGTTTCACAGATCGCAGCCCCCCATGGATGGCGAGGTCCCATTTGAGTCTGCGGTGAGTACCCACTGTGCTGGGCCCCTCAGCAGCCCTCGAAAGTGGCGACAGTTTCACAGATCGCAGCCCCCAGCAGCCCTCGAAACGCAGCGACGACCGAGGTAAGAAAGTGGCGACAGTTTCACAGATCGCAGCCCCCCAGGGATGGCGAGGTCTAACTTGAATCCGCCGTGGGTACCCACTGTGCCGGGCCCCCCAGCAGGCCTCGAAAGTGGCGACAGTTTCACAGATCGCAGCCCCCCAGGGATGACGAGGTCCCATTTGAATCCGCCGTGGGTACCCACTGTGCTGGGCCCCCCAGCAGCCCTCGAAAGGGGCGACAGTTTCACAGATCGCAGCCCCCCAGGGATGGCGAGGTCCCATTTGAATCCGCCGTGGGTACCCACTGTGCTGGGCCCCCCAGCAGGCCTCGAAAGTGGCGACAGTTTCACAGATCGCAGCCCCCCAGGGATGGCGAGGTCACATTTGAATCCGCCGTGGGTGCCACTGTGCTGGGCCCCCCAGCAGCCCTCGAAAGTGGCGACAGTTTCACAGATCGCAGCCCCCCACGGATGGCGAGGTCCCATTTGAATCCGCCGTGGGTACCCACTGTGCTGGGCCCCCCAGCAGCCCTCGAAAGTGGCGACAGTTTCACAGATCACAGCCCCCCAGGGATGGCGAGGTCCCATTTGAATCCGCCGTGGGTACCCACTGTGCTGGGCCCCCCAGCAGCCCTCGAAAGTGGCGACAGTTTCACAGATCGCAGTCCCCAGCAGCCCTCGAAACGCAGCGACGAGCCAGGTAAAAGGCAGGGGGGGAGAGAGGGACGGGAAGGAAGGTTCGCGCGAGCAGTGCTCTATTCAAAACGAGAACCCAACGCAGGAGGGTTGGAAAATAATCCTCACCACCACCCCCACCATCATACAAATAATCCTCACCACCACCCCGACCATCATTTTCACCATCAACATCACCATCACCATCACGATGAACATCAGCACCACACTCATCATCAGCAGCATCATCACCATCACCATCACCATCATGTTGATGATGTTCATCATCATCAGACTTATCATCATCCATCGCCATCATCTGTATCACCATCAAAAAAGTACCACCATCATCGTCATCACCAACATCATCATCACCAACATCATCATCATAACAATCAACATCGCCATCACCATCATCATCATCATCATCATCATCATCATCATCATCATCATCATCATCATCATAACCATCCGTCATCATCATTATCCTCATCATCATAATTCGCACCAACATGATCATACTCATCATCATCATCGTCATCGTCGTCGCCGTTGTCGTCGATGTCGCCGTCGCCGTCGCCGTCGCGTGTCGCGTGTCGCCGTCGCCGTCGTCGTTGTCGCCGTCATCATCATCATCATCATCATCATCATCATCATCCCCATAATCATCATCATCATCATCATCATCGTCGTCGTCGTCACCATCATCATCGTAAGCAACATCGCCATCACCATCACCATCAACACCAACATCATCATCACCACCATCACCACCACCACCACGACCATTACCATCACCATCATCATCACCATCACCACCACCACCACCATCGTCATCGCCATCGTCATCGTCATCGTCATCATCATCATCATCATCATCATCATCATCATTATCATCATCACCATGTCGCGCGCGTACGGAATCAAACACGGGGTTAGGTGAAACTTGTACCATCGAACAACGATGGCAACGAAGACGACGACGACGACGACGACGACGGCGGTGGCGGCGGCGGCGGAGCGTGCGGAACTGCTTCGGGAAATCAACAAACATATTTTCTAAGAAGTGAGTATTCGACGACGACGACGCCGAGCGACGACGCCGACGGCGACGGCGACGGAAACGGCGACGGCGGACGACGACGGACGGCGGCTGGAGCTCCTGCCCGCTCCCGAAGACGCGGCGGGGGCCGCTGCGTCCCGTGGCCCGCCCGCGGTGGCTTCCAGCGCCGCCGCGGAGGGCGCCTGCTCTGGCGCGGGGGGCTCCTGTTGCGACGAAGGGGCGCGCCGGCCACGCCCGCAGCGAGAGAAAGGCTGATCCCATTTGAGGCACCCTCCCTCGATCCTCCTCCGCCTCCTCCTCCTCCTCGTCCTCATCCTCCTCCTCCTGTTATGGTTTTTCTTCCTTTTAATACGATGGACCCTCTTACTGTGAGTACTAGTATCATTTATATGTTGCATTCGTCTTTTAGGTAATATCCGTCTTCGAAATATTCTTGTTATTCGTTCCATGATTCAATCAAACTATCGTTGGTATTCCTTGTAGTATCCGTATTCGTGTCATCTTGGTATTAGTCAAATTACCATTATGATTGGTACTCTTCTTGTTAATATATCATCAGCACTGATTTGTGTATTGTATTATTCGCATTACTCGTATTGTCCGTATTCATGCTATAAGTACCATTAGTACGACTATCAAGGTTACTCAAATTAATATTGTTAATCCTCGTCCTCCCCCTCCTCATCCTCGTCCTTGTCGTCGTCCTCGTCCTCGTCCCTTTCCTCGTCCTCATCCTCCTCTCCCTCCTCTTCCTCTTCCTCCTCCTCCTCGTCCTCCTCCCCCCCTCCCCCTTCCCTCCTTCTTTCCTCCTCTCCCCCCCCCCATGCCCTGGCCCTCCTGCCCTTCCCCCCCCCCTCTCGAGCGTAGCTGGGGCGACCAAATCTGGATCTATCGAGCTGATGGGCGGGCGACGCGATGCCGCGCCAGACCGAGGAGAGCACCCAGGCCCCTCTGCGTGAGTGGCTCTCCTGCTGTTCGAATTGGGTTGTGTAGGTAGAACGCATATATTGTAAACGGCAGGTTAATGCGAGGTGGGCTCACAAGACCAAGGCGTTGGATTGGGCATCGCGGGAACTTGGAACGATACAGTGTAGAGAAGACGCAGGCAGTGGGGACAATACCAAATATGGGCAAACGAGTGCTGAGAAGCACCTCCGAGAGGGCAACGCTGCTGTTTCTAAGAATTTGAAGCCGCGATCCACCCACCCACAAAAGTCTTAATTACGCTGGCGCGCTTGGAAGGACGGGGAAGGAAAATGGAGGAACGGACTTCAGACCTGGTAGTTAAAGCGACGGTAGGAGCCGAGTCGGGGAACCATCCCGCCGTTGATGAAGAGGGAAGATGAGCGAGCGGAGAGCTTGGGAAAGGTGACGCTGGGGATGAAGAGCATGAACAGTAGCATGTGGTTTGGCACATTGAACCCGCCGACACTGTCGGCGCGCGCGAAGGGCTCGCCCGTTCAAGTCGTCATCTCCGTCATTCGTTGAGGAACCCTGAACGGCCCAAGCCGGCCTCGAGAGAACCCCAGGCTGTCCCGAGAAAGTCTCTGGCCTCGTCCTCTTTTTCTTCCTCCTCTTCTTTCCCCCCCTCTGCCCCCCTCCTCCTGCTCTCCGAGGGTGCGCCGCTGGATCTCCGCAAGGGGGGGGGGGGGAGGGGGGGAACCCCCCCCCGCCCCCCCTTTCCTCGATCCGTCGTCGGGGACCCCCCCCCGCCCCCCGCCCCCCCCCCTCTTCCCCGATCCGTCGTCGGGGAGCACCCCTCCCTTTCCTGGTCCATCATCGGGCTCCCCCCCCTCCCCCCTTTCAAAAGGGGGGGGAGGGTCCGAACCCCCCCCCCTTCCATCCCCTTTGGCCGCACCCCCCCCTTTTCCCCCCCTTTCGCCACGCCGCCCCCGGACTCTGGAACCCGACCCCCGCCACCCCGACCCCTAGTCCTCACCCTAACCCAAACCCCTAACCCTAACCCCAACCACTAACCCCAGCCCCAAAGAGTACTCACTACTCATTACTCACTATTGACGACTCCCTATTCGCTACTCACTTCTCACTACCCCCCCACTCACTACTCACGACCCACTACTCACTTTCCACTACTCACTACCCACCCCCCACTACTCGCTACTCACTACTCCCTACTCACCACTCCCTCCTCCCTACTCCCTACTCACTCCTCACTACCCACGACTCAATACTCACTACTAACTAGACACTACTCATTAGTCCCTACTCACTACTCGCTGATCACCACTCATTCATTGCCAACTACCCACTTTCCACTACTCAGGGTCAAACTTCACCTTCGTGTCTACTGAGAATGAACGGGTTAGGGGTAATAGAAGTTCGGGTTCGGGTTCGGATTCGGATCCGTGTCCTGCACATTCAATTTAAACTGATTCGAATTACATTGGATAGTCGGAATTTAATAACACACGAAAAGGTTGTTCGGAAACCCACAATTTCGCCATTCGCCACTAAGAAAACAACGCCGGGGCTATAGAGCTAATCGTACACGAAGATGAGGTTCGGAAGCCAACTGATTCTAATGGTACACGAAGACGGGTTCGGAAACGCACAGCTTCGCCGTTCGCTAGTAAGAACACGATACAGGTGCTATAGAGCCAATAGCACACGAAGGTGAGATTCGGAAACCCATTGTGGAAGACGGAAGTGACGCCCAAACGCGACGCGTTTGGCCGCGGCGACGAAGATGCGCTCCAGCGAAGGCAAACTATCGAAAGGCACCCTGAAAGGCGACGGAGAAGCGCCCCTCTGTTCCTCATCCTCTTCCTCATCCTCCTCCTCCTCCTCCTCCTCCTCTTCTTTTCGTCGACGTCGTCGTCCTCCTCCGCCTCCCCCCCCCCCCCCCCCCCCCCCCCCCCATCCTCCTCCTCCTCCTCCTCCTCCTCCTCCTCCTCCTCCTCCTCCCCTCCTCCTCCTCCGCCACTTCCCCCTCCCCCCCCTCCTCCTCCTCCTCCCCCTTCCCCTCCGCCTCCGCCTCGCCCCCCCGCCTCTTCCTCCTCCGCCGCCGTCTCCGCCCCCGCCCCCGCCTCCGCCTCTTCCTCCTCCTCCTCCTCCTCCTCCTCCTCCTCCTCCCCCTCCTCCTAATGACTGAGCGCGCATCGACAGCGCGAGCGGCGCCCGCGGCATCCCTGTTTGGGGCCCCGTCGACGACAAAGCATCGAAATGCATGAAGGGTCTGATCGCAAAAAGGAACCACTTACGGCGTCCGCAGCACCCCTGCCTGGAAATCCGTCGCCGAAGGGACATGGAAGCGCGCGCCCTCAAGCCCGCAGGCCCTCGGCAGCGCTTATCGGTGGGCCGTCGGCAGCGCTCCTGGTTGGGCCAGGGCGCGACCCTTGTGAGCGGCGTGCCGAAATTGGACGTCGGTGTGCCCTCGGCAGCGCTCCCAAGTGGACCGGGGCCACGATCTCAGCGACGTGTGCGCTGGAATCACGCGTCCGAGGGCCAGGCCCACGATCTTCGAGAGAGGTGCGACGAAATAAAGCGGCCGGCAGTGGCGGTTGCTCCAGATCCGACGGCGACGCGAAGGACAGGTGTAAACTTACATGTGGTGGTTCACTTTTTAATGCGAATCCAATCTACAGCCTCTACAGCGAATAGTGCACGAAGGTAGGCGTTGTCGCGAAAGACACGAAGGCCAGGTTTGAAACTACGATTTTCGCACTTCCCCTTGTAGGAATTCTACTAGGCCTTATACAAAAGAAGAGCACACGAAGGTGAGGTTTGTAGCGACACGAAGACCACGTGCAAACCATTACTCACTACTCACGACTCATTGCCCACGAATCAATATTCAATACCCACTACTCGCTACTCGGTACTCCCTACTCCCTAGACAACACTGACTACACCGTACTCAGTACTCAATACTCGCTACTCCCATACTCGCTACTCAATACTCACTACTCACTCCCCGCTACTCACTACTCACTACTCCCTACTCCCTAGTCACTACACAGTCTCTAGTCACTAGTCACAGGTCACTAGTAACTAGTCACTACTCACTAATCGCTACCCACTACCCACTATTCGCTACCTACTTTTTGCTACTCACTGCTTACTACTCCCTACTCACTCCCGGCTCGCTACTCACTGCTCACCACTCACTACTCACAACTCCCTAGTCGTTACTCACACTAATCACTACCCACTACGCACTACTGACTACTCTCTATACTCACTACTCACTACTCACTACGCCCTACTCGCTCCTCACTACTCACCACTCGCTACTCCTTTCTCGCTACTCACTACACAGTACCCACTGCCACTACCCACTAACTCTCTATTCAGCACTACACACTACTCACTACTCACTACGCACTACGTACTACTCAGTACTCACTACTCACTACTCACTACTCACTACTCACTACTCGCTACTCTCTACTCGCTACCCACTTCTCACTACTCACTACTTACTACTCACTATTCACTACTCACTACTCACTACTCACTACGCACTACGCACTACCCACTACTAACTACTCACTAATCACTACTCGCCACCCACTACTCACTAACCACTACTCACTGCCCACTACTCATTACCCCCTACTTCCTACTCAGTACTCACTACTCGCTACTCACTACTCACTACTCGCCACTCACAACTCAATTATCAATACACACTACTCACTATTCACTACTTTCTACTCCCCACTCCCTACTCCCTACCCCGTACTCGCCACTCACTACCCACTACTCACTACCCAATACTCACTACTAACTACGCACTAACTCACTACTCCATACTCACCACTCCCTAACTCCGCACTTCCTACGCACCTTCTCTGGCGCAGAAAGGAGAAGCGAGAAAGGCGCCCCCCCTCCCCGGCCCCCTTTACGGTGCAAAAAAGGAGAGGGGGCGGGGTCCAACCCCCCCCCCCTCTCCACCTCCAGCGCTAAGGTGTGGGGGAGGGGGGGGGGGGGGGGGGGGGGTGCGGACCCCCGCGGATGAGGAGGTAGCGTGGGGGGGGGGGGGGGGGGGGGGGGGCGGGGGGAAGGGGGGGGGGGAGGGAAGGGGTTATGGGCCCCCCTTTTAATATATTCAGGGAGATCCACCGGCGCGCTTTCCTGCTCTCCTCTGCCCCCATTTCCTCCTCGTTCTCTTCCTCCACATCCTTCCCACCCACCCCCTCCCGCATCCACCTCCCCCGCCCTTCCTCTAACCCCCCGCTAA